GACATTTTTTTTGGAAGATGTTGTAAAAAATTTGCTGAAAAACAGAAAAACAAAAATTATCAAAAATTTGGCCAATCAAAAAATGTAGAAATTGGAAAATGGGACAATTTGGAAAACAGGGACAATAATCTTGTATCAACTTTCAGGAATTTCAGAATTACTGGAATCTTCAGGGAAATTATTTGGGATTTCAGAATTTTGAAATTCAGAACTCTGAAAATTTTGAATTTCGAAACTCTGAAAATTCTGAAAATTCTGAAAACCCAAAATCTTGAAAATTCTGAGAATTCTGCAAATGTTTCAATTCTGAAAATTCAAAATTCAGAAAATTCTAAATCTCTAAAAATTCCAAAAATTCTGAATATTCTGAAAATCCAGAATCTTGAAAATTCCAAAATTATGAAAATTTTAAAAATTCAAAATTTCGAAAATTCTAGCTTTCCTTAAATTCTGAGAAATGCTGAATATTCTCAAATTCTTAAATTCTGAAATATTCGAAATTTAAAATTGTCAAAATTCTAGAATTTTGAAATTCTAAAGTTCTGGAAATTCTGAAAATTTTAAAAAATCCAAAAATATGAAAATTCTGGAAATGGATCGATTCGGAAAATTTTGAAATTTTGAAATTTCAAAACTCAGACAATCCAGAATTCAGAAAATTCTGACAATCCAGAATTTGAAAATGAAAAATTCCAAAATTCTAAAAAAAAATGCTGATCTTTCTGATTTTTTTGGAGAGAATTTTAATTTTAGCTCCATTTTTTAGTTATGAATTTTAAGAGATTGATCTTTATTTTTGATCTCCATATCTTTTTTTTTCCAGAAAAAAAATTGAAATTTCCAGAAAATTCCAGAACCTTCAATTCCAGATAAACCAAAAAAAAAAGTTGGTGTGGTCCAAAAGAAAAGGTAAATAATTGATAAAGCCTAAAAATTGCGAAGGAGTCACATGTAGACATATTTCATCTGGAAAAAAGAGATAGAGCGAATTGGATCAGAATTAAAAAACAGGTCAAGACGAGAGAGTGTGTGAACTGGAGAGACGCAGAGAAGTTAGAGAAAAATGAAGAGGAAATAGAGATAAATTAGATTTGGCTTCTTCTTTTTTTTTGTTTTTCAGATTATTTTTGTTCGAAAAAAAAGAGAAATTAGGGGAAAATCCTTAGGGAATTTCTTTAAAAAGAGGAAGAGAAAGCTTAATTTTCTATTTTCGAAAAGAAATCTTTTTTCTAAAAATAAGAAATTTCAAGAAAAATTTCAAAATTTCGATTTTTTGAAAATCTGGAAATTTTGGGAAAAAAGAAAAAAAGAATTCCCGGAAAAAATATTGCGATGTTTCCAAAAAAATATATTTTTAAATAATCGGATTAAGAAGATTTTTTCGTACATATGTATAGAATTCTGTGACGTCATTTTCAGAAGTTTCAGGGATTTTGTTCTACATTCTGAAAAAACTCAAAAAATTGTGAAATTCTGGAATTCCGAAGAATTCCCAAACCTCTGAAATTCAAAACATTCTGAAATTCTGAAATTCCAAAAAATCCGAAATTCAAAAGTTGTGAAATTCTGAAGTTCCAAAAAATACGATATTTTGAAAAAAACTGAAAAAAATCAAAAGTTTAGAAAATCCGAAGAATTTGAAAATTAAAAAAAAATTCTGAAATTTCACGATTATCAATATAAAGTTCAGAAATTCGAAATTTTTCAAATTATTTGGAAATTTTGAACAATTCTAAAAACCAGAAAATTTGAACTTTGAAAATTCAAATATTCAGAAATTTTGAATTTTGAAATTCAAAAATTCGAAAACTCAACAAATTCCAAAAATTCTGAAATTTCGAAAGACTCTGAAATTCGAAAAGCTCAGTATATCCGAAAATTCAGAATTTCCAAAAATTCAGAAATCCTGAAATTAAAAAATTCGGAAATTCTGAAAATTCTGAAATTCCAAAAATTCAGAAGTCCTAAAATCTCTGAAATTCGAAAAAATCAGAAATTCCGAAGTTCAGAAATTTCGAAAAATTCAAAACATTTTGAAATTTTTCGAAGAATTCAAAAATTACAAAATCCTGAAACTTCAAAAAAATTAGAAGTTTAGAAATTCGAAAATTCGAAAAATCCAAATCTCTGACGAAATTTTCTGTGAAGTTTAAAAATTCAAGGGTTTATACGCTAAAACAATTAGTAGCTAATCTAAAGTAAGTGAAACATGTTTCCAATTTTTGGCTGAAATTTTGAATTTTGCGTTTTTATTTTGTTTCAAAAGTTCAAGGAAATCCCAAATAAGATCATAACCCAAAAATCCGAAATCCTGAAATTTCGAAAATTCAAAAACTCGAAAATTTTTTAATTGGAAAATTTCCGAAAAATGTAGGGAAATTTTATAAAAGGGTATAACCTTTTACCCTCAAAAAATATAAATTTGCAGAAGACAGAAAAAATTCCGGTTTGTGAGGAATTTGATCTTTTTATCATTTTTTTTTAAATCTTGCTTATCCAAAATGACCATGTTCTTTTAGTAAAAAAAGTAATGAAAAATTGTTTAAAATGCTTATCATAATATCAGCAACATTTTATCAGTTAACAGTTTCTAATATCTTTTACAGGAAATGAGAAACATGAGTTCAAAGCGGGTGGGTTGGGTGGCGTTCTAATAGAGCATGTTGTCAAATTAAGGAATCTCAATTTTTCGAAATGAATAATTTTCAATTTTGAATATTCCTTCAAAAAATAAGTGTGTCAAAGATTTTTGAAAACCGATGGCTGTCTAAACTATAGAATAAAAATCGTCCAAAAAAAAGATTACTTTTCAAATTCTATGGAATGGAATTAGCTAGTCAAGGAAAAAGAAAAAAAGAAAAAATAATAATTGCTATTATTATTTTTGATCCTCCTGTTTTCTCAATCTCATCTAAATCTTGTTTAATCAGATGACACAAAGAAAGAAAAAGATAATTAGAGAAAAAGAGAAAAAAGATAGTGGTCCCCACCCCGAGTCTCTCGTAACAACTGTTTAGATGGGAGAGAGAGAGAGAGAGAGAGAGAGAGAGAGAGAGAGAAAGAAAGAAAAAGAATCATCTGTGAACTTTTCCCCACAAGATGGGTGGATCTGGGAAACAACATGATGATGAGAAGAGACAAGAATTATGATGGGAGAGAAAGATTTTGAAATTTTTGGAAATTTTTGGAAATTAGCTACCGCGCTCCACTGCTAACCACATTATTTTTAATTTAGCAACTTCAAAATAAAACAAAAAAAACACATTTTGAAGGCCAAAAAGGGGGAAATTGGAAAAAAAATGGGCAAAACTAAATATCACATTACGGAAATGGAATGGCAGCACATCATGCACTTTTTGGAGGGGAAATATGATTCATTTTTTTATCTAGAAAAAATGACAAAAAAGATGCAAAATCGCTCTGAAGAACAATCTGAATTTGAAGAAAATTCCAACTTTTTTTTTTGAAATTTTTGATTTAAAGGATTTGAAATAAAATTGAAATTTGAAAAAAAAATACTGGTAGACTAATTTTTCGAGTCTTCTTCCACCTGATTAGGCTCCGCCCACTTTTGACAGTAAAAAATGAATTATTTATGGACAACCATAAAAGAAACCAAATGTGAAGAGGTCGATAACGTCAAAATTCTCCTGGAAAACTTTTAGGAGGAACTTTGAAATCTTGAATTTTTCTTTAAAAGTTTTTTACCAAAGGCAGGTGGTCTTGAAGTTTAAAGGCGCATATCTCTCACACCCTTGAAGATTCTGAAATTTTGAAAATTACAAAAATGTAGGTCATAAAATTTCGCACAACTTATTAGTTAACAAAATATTTCTAACTGCTCTAGCTAGCGGGATATAGGTGTTTATAGTTTGACGGAGATGCAGACAACGAGAGTTTTCTCGTTTCTCTGCGCCTCTCGCATGCTTCAAACGCCTATATTTCAAGAACCAATAACGCCATCAAAAAACTGTTCACTACAAAATTATGTGAAATTTCATTTTCTACAACTTTGTAGTTGACCCCTCTTAGATAACTCCCCTGGTTTCTGAGATATGCGTCTTGAAAGCTAAGACAAGACGCAGACAACGAGAGTCGTCTCGTTTCTCTGCGCCTCTCGCAAGCTTAAAACGGCTCTATCTCAAATACCAATAACGCTATCAAAAAATTTTCAACTATTGAACAGTGTAAAATTTTATGGACTATTTGTTTAATAGTAAACAAAATGTAGCTATCATTATGGATTTCGAGTTATGCGCCTTTAAAGTTGGCGTACCTTTCCACGCAGGAAAGCGTTCTAACTTTAAAGGCGCATATCCTGAGAACCAAGATAGTTACAAAAATGTGTAAAATTTTAAGCTCAATATTTTTGCAGTTTACAAAATTTGTCTATCTCCGCCCCTTTTTGAGATACCCACCAATTGTTGTCATCACATGCACATATCCAGGTACCACTTGACCGGACAAGGTGGCTTTTTTATAATTCCACTTTTTTCGATCCCAATCTATGATGACTCATTTGACCCCGATTTTTGCTTTTTTCTCAAAAAAAATCAATAAAATGGTGCAAAATATATCTCATGAGCCGTACCACCTGTACAAACAAGTCCATATAACTGCTTTCCCCCAATTTTCCACCTCTATATTTTTCGTATTTGCTTTATTTTTACTGTAAGACTTAAATTTTCTATGTTATTTTTCCTAATTTTCACTATTTTTGGGATTATTGGTAAGCCAAAATTTTGAAAAAAAATTTTTTAAATTTTTTTAAAGTTTTTTGATTCTAAAAATTATATTTTAGGACTCTCCTGGTCCCAACCGTTTTGTCCCGGCAACACGACCCCGTTTGACTATCAAGAATGTAATCCGGAAATCCGGTCCGAGTGTCCCTCTGGATTCACTTGCAGGTAGAGCGAGTTTGCATTTTTTTTTGAAATTTGAATTTTTTAAAAAATCAATTTCTCAGAAAAACCAGCACTACAAATTCCACTGGAGCAGCAATGAATCTGTGTTGTGAGAGCGGAAGAATGACAATTTCAGATTGTAATTTCATTTTGTTTTTGGAACTTCGAAATTTTTGAAAAAAAATTTTTAAACACAAATTTCGGGGTTTTTTTTTGAAATTTTTTGAATTTCAGGGTTCTCTGAAAAGCACCTAACACCTGATATCATTCCACAGGCACCATTTACATTGTTGCAGACTGTAAGTTTAAAAATCTTTTTTTTTTTTTAATTTTGATTCCAAAAAAAAATTTTTTTCCGCAAAATTCGAATTTTCAGATCACTCTTTCCCCGGCAAGCACACTTTTGAATTTCCCGCCCATCCATGTGGGTGACGAAGTAGTTGTTCTAAGTTTCCCGGGTTTTATCACTGGAGTTTTGCAATCGGTGACCCTCTCCGGTCAAGTGAATCCCGGATATGTGCATGTGGTGACTATAATTGGTGAGTATCTTGAGATACGGTAGAAATGGACAGATTATGTAAATTGCAAAAATGTAGCGCTTAATATTTTACACATTTTTGTAGTTTACAAAATTTTTGTAGCTATCTTGGTTCTTGAGATATGCGCCTTTAAATTTAGAGCGCTTCCCTGGGCAAAAAGGCACGCCAACTTCAAAGGCGCATACCTCAATCAAGAATATAAATAGCTAAATTTTGTTCAATACCAAAATATAGCCTATAATTTTTTTTAACATTTCACTAGTTGAAAATCTTTTGATAGCGTTATTGGTTCGTGAGATAGAGGCGTTTTAAGCTAGTGATAGAGGCGTTTTAAGCGCAGAGAAACGAGACAACTCTCGTTGTCTGCGTCTCTCTCAAACTTCAAACGCTTATATCTCGCTAGCTAGAGAAGTTAGAGAAATTTTGTCGATTACTAAAATGTATGAAATGTTATGTTTTGCGTTTTTGTAGTTGTCAAAATTTTTGTATCTTCAAGGGTTTTTGTGATATGCGCCTTTAAACTTTAAGACGTCCTATCTCAAGAGCTAAAGGAGCTACCAGAAAGCGGTAAAATAGAAAAATGTGCAAAATTCAATTTTCAATCTAGATCCCCTCTACAAACCCTTTGCCGTGCTCATGAACTACAACATAATCGTCGGACAGCCAACTCAAACAATCAATGTGACGTCATCGCGCTTTGTGGCCTATTTGGATAACAGCGCGTCGATGCCCAGAATGGATTCTTGTAAATTTTTCAGAAATTTTCAGAATATTGCTCATCTTAAATTTTCAGACCGCTCGGAATATGTGGTTTTGGTCTACTACACAGCTTCTCAAATCTTTTTGGATGGCAATACACCGAGTAATTTTAAAAAAATTATTTTTTTTAATTTTCCTGATAATTTCAGAAGACCAGCTACTCGGATCTTCTTGCTCTGATCCCAAATGTCTTCTTACCAGCTCCCCGTTAGCATCGAAATTCAGTCAGCCGATGGGTGGAACTGTTTTTTATATTACCACCAAAAACACGGTATTCACAACTTCTGAGGATTTCAATACTTCCGGAAGCTCCGCCCACGTTTTCTCTGCGTCTCTCATTTTGTGTTATCTTGTTATTCTTCTTTTTTAAACAAAAAGCAGACAACCAAAAAATGAAATTTTTGTTGAAAAAATGAAATTTTGTATTTGCACACCTTTTCTAAAACATGTGTATAAAACATGGGAAAATCTGGAAAATGGCAAAGAACGATGAACAAAAATTGGCTCATCTTTACTTTTTTGACATCTACAGTAAGTTTTGAAACTTTTTCCAGAATTGTTTCTACAGTAATATTTAGGTTCTAACTGAAAAAATTGATGGAGACGTTGGCATTGGGATTTGATTGCTCAGTCTAATCTGGTTACTGTAGATCCCGCAAACCCATTCAATATTCCAACCATCAATTGGGAGGATATTCTGGTTTGTCTTAAAATATTTTTCAGAATTTTTTTCCAAAAAAAATTTCAGAAAAACATTCCAACCATCCCCCCGATAGTCTTGCCAACACTGGATCCTAATTTTTGGGTACTGTATTTTTTCAAGAAAACTTTTTTAAGAATTACAATTTCCAGCAAAACATCCCCACCCTTCCACCACTGCCAACGCTGGACCCTGATTTTTGGGTAAATTTGAAATTTTTTCAAATTATCCATAGAGCGAATTTCCATTCAGAGAAACCTTCCCACACTTCCACCCCTTCCAACGCTGGATCCGAACTTTTGGGTAATTTAATTTTTTTTTTGATTTTCAAAATTTAAAAAAATCCAAAATTTCAGCAAAATCTCATCAGTCTTCCCACACTTCCCCCACTACAATTTCCAACGCTGGATTCGAACTTTTGGGTAATTATTCCTCTTATTAATGGCCTGAAATGCCTAAAAAGCCTCAAAAAACATAGAAAAAAGGCCTGGTGGGCATTTTTAGCTACCCCATAATATTAACGTCACACCAAACTTTATAGGCATATATCTGAAGAAGGAGAAAAGCAATCAGAATTCTGTCAACTAGAGAATTGCTCAACATAAAATTTACATATTTTTGTAATTGACCATTTTTCGCTAGCTACCGTAGTTTTTGAGTTATGAGTCTTTGAAATTAACGCGCGCCCACAGGAGAGACCCAACATTACCAGGCCAACGTGACGCAGAGAAATAAAGAGAAAGCGTGGGTCTGCTAAATAATTAGCAGACCAACGGGAGACGCAGAGAAGTAGACATTGGTCTGCGTCTCTCGTTGGCCTGCTAAATAATTAGCAGACCCACATTCCACGTGCCACATCTCGCAATAGAAACATAGTGATATCTCAGCCAGTTCTCAACCGATTTTCCTCATATTTTCACTGAAAAATCTAGAATTCCGACCTCATTCTCACACCATATCTAATTTAGGTTTTTTTGTCCTGAAAATAGCTTTGTTCCAGAAAAATCTCCCCACACTTCCCCCAATTCCTACACCAACGCCTCGTACGGCTCAATGCACATATAAATTGGGTCAAGAAGTTCTAACAAATTCAAGTTTCGCGGAAACTTTGAATTACACGAATGTGCAGTCAGTTCTGGATGAAATGCTTCAGAAATCGGTGGAAATTTGTAATGGATTTCAAACTCAAAAGCTAACGGATCTCTCGTTTAAATATGGCGTTTTGCAGGGTGATTTACAAGAAATCACTCCGTATTTTTCGAATTCCGACCTACAAAAATTGCTGGTCGCCGTGCTTCAAGGCGATTCGGGAGCGGTTTTTCAGATTCTCTTCTCGAAAACTCTGGAAAATTTGGCGAATCCTACGGTAACTGGGAAGATTTCAAAAGTACAGACACAAATTTCTACACTCCAATTTGAACTGCTATTTAGTCCTATTTAATTCTTGCCTATTTAGAATTAAAAATTAAATAAAAGATTTAGTTTTGAACTAGTAAATGTGGGATAACAGAGAAAAGGGGGCGGGGCAAGAAGAGAAAGAAAGACAACTAAAATTCAACAACAGCAAAATTAGCGAATTGGTGGAGAACTGGGTTTGCGACGACGACAGGTTCGACGATGTGTTCCCCAGTGTCCTTGTTGGCATTCGATGCTACAGTAGGCAGTGTTCCAACAGCAGTGGTAGATGGCCTGAAAATGCGAAAAAAATGGTTGAAAATGAGTTGAAGACAAGTAATTATGTTTGCGGCACATGGCAGATCAGAAGAAGCTTGAAGAGACGCAGATAAAGGGAAAGAGCGCGTTGGTCTGCTAAATATTTAGCAGGCCAACGGGACGCAGAGAAAGAAGGAGAGCGCGTTGGCCTGCTAATCATCATCAGGCCAACGCTTTTTCAAACATTAGCAGACCAATTCTCTGCGCCTCTCGTGGGTCTGATAATTATTTAGCAGGCGAACGAGACGCGGAGAAAGAGACATTGGTGTGCTGATGGTTTGAGAAGTTAACAGGCCGACGCTATTTCAAACATTAGCAGACCACTGTCTACTTTTCTGCGTCTCTTGTTGGCCTGCTAAATAATTAGCAGACCCACTTTCCACGTGGCGCATCTCGAAATCGTGCTATCTCCACCAATTCTCAACTGATTTTCTTCATTTCTTCACTAAAAAGTCCCAAATCCCAACCTCATTCTCACACTGACAACACCACTGCTTCTTCTTCGCCTCACTCAAATCGCGACGATGCTTTTCGAGCAGCTTGGCGCCTTCGAGTTTCAGGTCCTCACGATATTTCGTATCCAATTCGGTTCTCATTGTCTCCAGCTCCTCTTTGAACTCCTGCAACAGTTCGGAGCGAATTTTTTGGAGATCGTTGAGGAATTCTTGGTGTAGCTGGAATTTTGTTTTCGAATTTTGAAGTTGGAATTTCATAAAAACTACTTTTTCAGTGATTTCCACCAAAACTTTCTCTCGATTTTCTTCATATTGCGTCATCCAATGCTTCTGAAGATTGGCGATAATTGCTCTTGTCTGTTCATTGATAAATTCGTCAACTTGGGTCGATTCTTCAATGGCCGAAACTTCTAGTTTTACTTCTGGCGTCGTGTCGCTCATTTTTTCTGGGTTTCTTTTCAAACATTATTTTTACTTTTGTGGCATTTTAGCGGTTTGACCAGAGGCGATAACCACACAAATATGGCGTTTTTTGAACTAGAAAAAACACAGAAAGCAAGAAGTCGTTATTGTTCAGAGCAAGAAGATAAATATAGAAAAAAAACAATAAAACGCACAGAAATCATTTGGGTTGAGATAGATGAATGGACAAGTTTACAGGGAAGGAATTTTTAGAAAAGAAGAAGAAATGGAAGGGAATTCAGAGTTTTAGGAGGAGAGATCGTCACAAGTCTATTGAATGAACGAGTAGGGCTGAATTTCTAGAGGAGCATGAGAAGAAAAAGAAGGAAACAAATACTTTTTAATTTGTGAAAATTGTTGACCTATTAATAGAAGCGAAGCGATTTTTTAGAAAGTGGTATTTAGAGGCATACTTAAAATTAAGAGAAAAGGAACTGGGAAACGGGGATTCTGAGATGTTCTACTGCTGTTGCTGCATTTGTTGTTGTTGGTGAGCGGCTGCACCTGGAGCTCCACTGCCGGCGTTTCCCTTCTTTCTGCGGCAGAATTTGCGATGCGTTTGCCAGTGTCCTTGTTGGCACTCAACACTACAGTAGGCAGTGTTCCAGCAGCAGTGGTAGATGGCCTGAAAATGCAAAAATAAAGAAATAAAAAATCGGCTGAAAATGAGCTCAAAACGAGTAGTTTTGCTCGCGCCACGTGGCAAATCGGACGAAGCTTGAAGAGACGCAGAGAAAGTGAGAGAGTGTTGGTCTGCTAATTATTTAGCAGACCAACGCTTCTCTAAGCATTAGCAGACCAATGTCTACTTCTCTGCGTCTTTCGTTGGCCTGCTAAATAACTAGCAGACCTACATTCCACGTGGCGCATCTCGCAATAGAAAAATAGTGCTATCTCGGTCATTTCTCAGCCGATTTTCTTTATTTTTTCACTCTACGTCCTCAATAAATAGCAGACCAAAGCCAACGTGGCATTTCGGACTGCTGCTTATTTAGCCGGCCAATGCTGTGTTGCTTTCTATACCAGGCCCTGGCACGAGTGTTGAAGACCTTTTAAGTGTCGGGGCCTGTTTCTTTACGTCTCTCCTAGCTTCCTATGGTCAGCTAAATAGGTCAATGCTCTTGCACTCTCTGCGTCTCGTCGGTCTGCTAAATATTTAGCAGACCAATTTTCCACGTAGCACTTCTCTTTCCAAGTTTGACCGGGTTCAAACTCAATTTCTATTGGATTTTTGGGATTTTCTTCAAGCCTACAGTATGCCAAGTGCAATCAGCTCACCTCATTATCACACGACCAACACCATTGCTTCTTCTTCGCCGCCTGCAACTCCCGCTTGTGCTTCTCGACCATTTTGGCGCTCTCCATTTTCAGATTCTCGCGATGCTTATTCTCCAAATCGAGACGCGTCTGCTCCAACTCCTCCTTGAACTGTTGAAGCAGATCCGAGCGAATTTTCTGCTGATCCATCATGAATTCTTGGTGCAACTTCTCGGTGAGCTCAACGAGACACTTCTCGCGAGCCGTGTGATATTCGCTGAGCCAATGACGCTGCAGGTCGATGATCATCCGCTTCATTCCTTCGCTGACTGGAACGCCTTCAAGGCCGTACTGAAAAGTATACTTTTAAAAACCTTATAGCAAAGACACTTACACTGCCATCATGACCCTGTTCGGCTAAAGTTGCTTCCAATTCTTTATCAATGGGTGATAAGTGAATTCCGTCTTGCTGTGGAATCTGTTGCTGGGGTTGTTGTGCTTGTTGAGACGTCTCCATCATCATTTCCTCCTGACCTTCCGCCATTGTTAGACCTTTTTTATCTGGAAAAAGAAAAACAAATAAATTTGAAAAATTGACCGAAAATCGATAATTTCGGTGTCAGCTGACTACGGTAACAGTAAGAATTTTGAGGGAATTTTGTGAGAAATTTAGCAAATTTTTTGAGAGAAATGAGCGAGAATAAGCGGCGACACTCAATTCCATCGAAAAAATACCGAAAAAGTACGATATTCTCGCGGAAACCGGCTGAGGAAGTGAAGATAACACTCTACCGTAGGCAGGCGAACAAATACAAATTTCGGCAACGACACTCCGCTATCCCGATGCGCGCGTTGTTTAGTGGCGAGAATTTTGAGGACCGCCCGCTCGAATTCGCAACCATTTTTCGCCAATTTTATCGATTTTTCTCACTTTTTGTTGAGTAAAACCTTTTCATAATAACCTCAAAAATGTTGAGACATCAATTTTTCACTAAAAAATCTGGAAAAGTCCGCGATTTTCCGCTAAATAGGCTAAAAACTAGAATGTTCAGTTTTCTGACTTTTTCAATAGATTCTCGTGATAAATCTCTTGAGAAATCAAGCAAAAAGTGTTTGGAAGACGCTAAAAAGTGAAAAAAGTCACCTAATCCCGAATGTTTTCGCTGGTGACTCACAAACGTATATTTATCGATTTCCCTTAGAAAAGATAATTGGAGGTTGAAAATGGGATTTCGAAATGATTGTTAAAGTGAATCTGGGTGTGAAACACAGAAATTTGCATACAAACTTTCTCCACAATCAGCAAATAAGCTAGATGCAGCTTTGAAGATAATAAGTCTCCATTCTCGGAACTAGAAACACCTGTTAGATTCAAAACGGAAAATATTTTGAGTTTGTTTCACAATTTCAACAAATTAGAAGCTGTATTATTACTCTTGCTCACAAATCACTTTGCTCTCTATACTATATTATTTTTATTCGTAATCATTATTCTTGCTTCTTTCTTGCCAATGATTAACTTTTTTCCAGGATGAACCGTACCGCCTTCAGCCGCTTCTTGGCTCTCAGCCGTTTCGCCCAAAAGCGTCACGGACATGGACACCACGTAAGTAGTATCCTATTTCTACCGCTGTCATCTCATCCTTCGTACTAAACCATGTTTTCCTTTCTAGGTCGCCAACCCAGGACCACCATGTAACTTCGACATGATGCCAGTGCCATTCCAATCGTATAAGAAGGTATATGGAGAGCTCCAAGGAAAGTTCAACGCCTACTTGGCATTCTCTGCCGTCTTCTTCGCCTCGTCGGTAAGTTTTTATGCTCTAGAAGATAGAATTCTCATTTTTGATGTTTTCAGTTCGCCGCTGCTCTCTACACCGACCTCTTCGCTTTCGAGGCAGCTTGCCGACCACCACAGAGCTACCGCAACCGTCAATAAATCTATTTCCTTCGTCGAATCATTATTTGTATGACACAAAATGTTTTAAATTTTAGTATAGCCGGATATGTCGTGACAACTCTCTCTGTGGTTTTTGAAAAAGAACTCCCTAGGGTGATTCCGTTCGCCGTTTCGTTGGCCAATGAATTACTTTTGACTGTTGTCAAAAATCTTCCAAAATTGTTCGAATTTTACATTTAGATATTTCTCTTCCTTTTCGCCTCCCCACCCTCATTTTAATCATGTCAGGCTATTTGAATTGCTAATGATACGGTGGAAATAGAGGTTTGGCGTCATGATAGCTTCAACGACGATGCTTTGGGGAGTCCTCCGCTCCCATCGGATTCTTCCACGTCATCTGATGCTGAGCTCCCGACGTTTTCAAGAGGAAAAAGCTCCAAAAGTGAAAAGTCTTCCACCAGAAGAACGAGGCCGATACAAAGTAGCCACAATTCCAAATGCGATTTGCGCCGGAAGAATTGCAGCTACTCCACTAATTGGCTATCTAGTCGTTCAACATCATTTCACTCCAGCGTTTGCTCTTTTCACAGTTGCTGGAGCTTCGGATTTGGTACTCTTAAATTCTGGCGGGATTGTTGAAATCATAGAAAATTTTAGCTAGATGGATGGATTGCTCGAAATGTTCCTGGTCAAAAATCTCTGCTAGGATCCGTACTGGATCCAGTAGCTGATAAACTTCTCATCTCCACAATGTTCATCACAATGACACATGCCGGACTCATTCCTTGTAGGGAAAAATTGAAAACATTTAAATTTTGAGAGAGACTAAAAAATTTCAGTACCCCTGACCTCAATTGTGATTCTTCGTGACGTGTGTCTCATCGCCGGTGGCTTCTACAAACGGTACCAAGTGATGAGTCCCCCGTACTCACTGAATCGATTCTTCAATCCACAAGTTTCTTCGATGCAAGTCGTTCCTACTATGATGAGCAAGGTAAGACTGTAAAAACAACGACGAAAATCGATAAGAAAACAGCTGAGATATGGGTTTTTGCAAACGCCACATGAAAAGTGGGTCTGCTACTTATTTAGCAGACCTAAAAGACCTAAATAAAAAATGTGGTTAAGGTTCTAGATTTTTCTGTGAAGAAATGAAGGAATCGGTTGAGAACTGGCTGAGATATCACTATGTTTCTATTGCGAGACGCGCCACGTGCAAAGTGGGTCTGCTAATTATTTACCACGC